TCATTGTTAGAAATGTTTGCAAACTTCTGTTTGGTTTCCCTTACTAACATTTCCATCGCTCTTTGCCCAAAAATGTAAATATCGGGATTAATTTGCAAAGAAATGAAAACAGTTTGCTATTAAACAATTTCCCCAGATGAATTTATATATTTTTTAACCTTTTACATTTTGGTTGTGTTTCTATCCCTACTTTCCGTGTAGTTTTGCTTATCATACGTGGAACATCCCCAGCTGTGTCTTGCAAATGGGTCCGGGTCCTCCTTCATGACTAAGTTATAACACCTCGTGCTGTTAATACTCGGTCTTGTCGTCTGCTTGCTGTCATGTCTGCTCAAGTGTTCCGTACTCCGTATTCTGTATTCCGTATTCTGTGTTCCGTGCTCGGAGCTGTTCCGGGTGGGCTTAAACACGTACTTAAAATCCGCCCTGCATTTGTGCATGGAAACGCCCGCAAGTGCGGAAGAAATATGCGAAAGATCACAACAATAGGGATCAATTTAATCTGGAAACTATGAAAGAAAATTGATTTACAGTCTGATGTCCCAAAAATAATATAAATATTATTTTTAAATCTTCATTTCATTTGTTGATTGTACAAAGTATTGGTAAGTTATAGTTCACGAAAATATATTTAGACGTCTGACAAACTTTTCTAACTTTTATTAATGTTAATATTATTCTTGTGCATATCAATCTGTTTCATACATTCTAAGTTTAGTCATGAAGTCATTTAAGCAATGGAAACAAATTTATTGATTGATTTAATAAACATTTTAAATTTTTGCTGAGAAGTAATTAAACGAGGTAATTCTTTGGCTCAAAAGGAATAAGCTGGATAATCGATCTTTATTGAACTTAAAATTTTTCAAATTGCTTTAAACTTTTCGGACAGGATATCATCTGCTAAATGTCAAACTTTCAACTATGTGTCTAACAGTCCTTTCTCACATTGTGGTGGTGACACACAGTGCGTATGGGTAACAATAACGTGACACAAATGTAGAATATGAAAAGCGAAAAAAAAACGCACACATGATGGTAAAACTTCACAGGGCTATGTGGTTCTTTGAGTGTGTGTTTGCATATACACTCGTATACGAGTGCGAGTGTGTGGACGGGTATTCATATCCTATGCGGAGTGGCATTTAGTGCCACTGATATCTCCTTAACATCTTCGGGTAACAGCCTTTTAAGATTTCAATAAGGATTGCTCCGCTGCGTGCCCCGGGATGAAACTATAATTTTATGCTGTAAGCTGCATGGTGTATGGTGTATCGTGTGTCCCTGAGATGTCCTAAGATGTCCCTGCTCTCCGATGCCCGATGCCCGATTCCATTCCATCGCCGCATTGTTAAGATGTGTAATCCCAGTCATCTGGCCCCGGGGCTTTGTTGACTTTCAATTTCGAAATTAATAAATGGTCCCAACAAAGACCACCGTGTCGGGGGTGTAGTCAACCCCAAGTCAACTCACCTCCTTTGGAGGCACTGAAAGTGCGCAATCTGTCCACATCCTCGTCGTCGTCGTTGACGCGCAGGTGATGCATGTTCATGGTGGGCACGTCCAGGAAGGCGTTCGATTTTCTATGTGCTGTTCCAACCAAAAGAGAAAGATTAAAAGAGATTAACTTAAATTGCATTAGGAATTATGGTCAAACAGATATAACAGATATTTATGTATGCATAAGCTTAAATTGTATTGCCGCATGACTAACAACATATTCTGAAAAATGAAAGTACATTTTGTATTCTATTTTGCATTTTATTAAGTTTGGGTTAAGCTATTAAATTAAGAAGACATTGTTTTTAAACTTATGCGAGCAACTGCTATATCTTATACAAGTTTATGGTTTTAGTGAGGCATAACAAAATATGTTATTTTGAATAAAAATACAATTATTTCACAGCAGTGCTTTTTTCAACAGAAAAATAAATATGGTAAAAAGCTATCATATAGATTAAAAAATAACTTTTGGCGAAAAGAGATATGAAAATACCCTTGGATAAATATAAAAAAAAAAAAACCCTTTGTTTAAACTTTTCCCCCCGCCAATTTTGCATTATTGATTTGGTATTCCAGCCAGCTGTAGCAGGGCTGACATTTGGACAGCTTTAATGTCGAGTTGACAGAGAGGAGTGCCACACACGTTGCACACTTGCTGCTGGGTAAACTGGGTCAATGGTTAAGTTCATCGAACGTCCAACGTTAATTGAATCAACAGTATTGGAGGGTACTTAACAAAGGGCAAAATGAAACAATCATCTACTGGAACAAAGCCAACTGTTTGAGCTTCAATGCCTCGCCTTAAAGTCCTGAGCTCCTTGGCCGCCTCCTGCTATTTTAGCCACCATTGCATTAATGGTCAATTTCACATCGCCGCTGCTCTCGTGTGGCGAGCAATTTGGCTGAGAGCTTAGTTTATGCCGCATAAAAGATCAGGCTCAGCACTTGGCTAATTTGTTGCCGTTGTTTTGCCGTTTTGATGGCACCATCCGTCCATTAAAACTTACAACTTTAACAAGTGCGGTAAAAGTAATAGTGGTGTTACCACAAAATCTTAAAAATAAATTTTTTTATTAAGCGAACTGAATATCGGACAATAACCTGGTGGCAAACAAGTACAAAATTCATATAAAACCAAATAATATATCATGGATTACAAAGCTGTATTAAAATCATATGGTTAAAGCTGATATGTTAAATTTCAATGACTAAGAGGATTTTGTTGATTGCAATTAGTATATTCCATAGTTAAATAAATACAAATTTATTCTGAATGTAACAATTTTGTGAAGGACCTTTTGAAAACATAGAATATTATCTCAACAAAAAAAAATATTTAAAAATATCTTAACATGAACACAGATTTTTAGGCGGTTATTTTTTTTTTTTTACTTTTTACAATATAGATATAGTTTTACATAAAATGAGAATTTGTCACTATTTTGATATACATCACGAAATAATGGAACTTAAGCGTTTTGTTGCAGATATGCTGTTCAGCCTAATCATGGGTTAAGATAGAGCTGTGCATTTTTCTTCATTGTATTTATTTTCGTTAATTTATGCTTTAAAAATTGATTCCAATTTAAAGCCCTTTGAGCAATGTTTGTACACTCATTCCTATCAAATGTCTGTTAATTGTAAAATTGCAAAGAACTGAAAACTTTAAGGTCGGCTTTTGGCCCAAAGGGAAGATGATAAGATATGCTTCCAAGATGTTTATTTTCACTCTGCAAAAGTCTACCTTTCAGGGGATTTTTATGCAGTCAACTGCTAGTCTATTAACCGCATCTGTGCGTACTTATCTCCGCTCGTAATTTACTCACCGTGTGGCTGTGGCCTCCGCTGCGAAAGCTTACGACGCTGCGGAGGCGTCTCCGTCTCGCTCAGCCGGGGCTCACTGGTGCAGTAGCTCCGGGCCTCCTGGAGCGTGTGCTGCTGTTGCTGCTGCTGCTGCTGTGCCTTCGTCTTCTGGCGGACCTGCAAGAGGAAAGATGGTCTTTAAGCTCGGCTTACTCAACTTTCCATCTATCCATCTATCCATCACGGCCTGAGGCTTTCGCCGTGATTCATGGACTGCCGTTGGGTTTGCCCTTGCCGATTGAGTGAGACATTAAATTGCATTTCTCGGTTGCAGACCAATCAAGTCGACACACAATTCAAATTGCATTTGTTTGTCCTTTAGAAAGACAGAGAATCACCGCCCAATGCCCAACGCAAAACGCCCAACGCCCACCACTTGGCGCGCCAATGGCATAATTTATCGGCTGACTTGGCCTCGCGGGAAGGGCTCCTCTGTGATCAGAGCAGCTCAAGGGATTTCCCCCTAAATGTCAAGGCTAAACGACTCGGCTACTTCAAGTGCAATCAGCTGCGCCGCTTGTTTTGTCCGACGCAAAAGTTTCCTGTCCACGTCGGATGAAGGAGGCGGAGCAGGCGGTGCAGGCGGTGCAGGAGGAGGAAGTGGTGTCCCTGTCCGTGTTCCGAATCCTTCAACCCACGACGAAGTGCCTGTCACGCCGCCTCAGTTTGTGGTGTTCCATTGAAAGTCTGCCGGCGTCGGGGCGAAAACTAATTTCAGCACCTGTCCCGGCGATGTAAGCTTCTTGTTCAGTTTCTTTGGTCCAGTGTGAGGGCGATATTTATAGTCGCATGCAAAATGTCCAACTTTGTTAGCCACTTCCGTTTGCCTTGGCCCAAAAACAGGGGCGAAGGCGAACCAAATGATTTGGGTGTATCGCTCCAATTACTTGGTAATTGGGAATTATTATTGTTGTGCTGTAATTAATAGCTTATGCTTAGAAATATCCATTCGAATGTGTTGTAGGAGGCAAATAATTGGAATTAGTACTGTGAAATCAAGCTTACGACATATTTCTTATACGAATTTTCTAAAAACAATATAATAAACGAAATAATTCTCGCTGAAATTTTATCTAATAAACAACAAAAGTATGGCTAAAGATAATTTTATTAACAAGCTGCTTATTTGACTTAACATTATAGGTTTTTCCATTAGACATATATTTCAACATTTATAATCTGTAAACAATTAATGTTTATAAACAATTTACAATTTAGTGCAATAATAAAATGTACATTTGTTAGTTGGCAGTAAAAAAATGTTTATAAATTTTTGTATAATGTGTATTATTTTGTAAATTTGTATTTTTTGGAAGCTAATAAACTCGATTTTTGTTATATTGATGGCAAAATGTCGTTTATGTACAAATCTCACAATTATTATTTGGGAAATAAAAACTAAGAAAAGTTTTAGCATTTGACTGTAAAACAATTTTTATAGGTTTTGGTTGAACTTCGAAGAACATTTTAAAAGTTTCTACTATTACATTTGTGTTAAACATTTGAAGATCTAGCATAAATATTTTAAATGAAGCACAAATAAATTGAATGCTATTTGTGTTCTTTTAAAGCTTAAAAAATCCATTTTTGTTATTTTTAAGAAACTGCCAGATATTATTAAAAAAATTATGAAAAAAAAAGGAAAAGTTTTAGGGATAAGCTCAATTATATGTTGTAATCCCCCTTAAACTAGGCTAATTGCGCCACTGCCTCCACACAAGAATTCTTTATGGCTGAAAAACGAAAAGCCGGAAGCGTTTGCTACATGGCGTCGCCTGTCAAGTGGCCACGGATTTGGGCCACGTTGAGTTTCTGGTCAGTCGGAGGGCTCGGCAAAGCCGCCAAATCCGCAGCAAGTAGGCGATGGGGTGGTCGACTGGGCCATTAGACGAGCTGTCAGTGTAAACGTTCCTTGTTTATTTAGTGGCCGCTCTTTTGCGCTTTTTACGGTCGCAAACGTATGTATTTCTATATGTAGCCTGAAACCTGGCTGGCTACATGTGTGTGCATTTATCCTGGCATTTCATGGGCCCTCGTGACCAGTAATTGCTTTTCGTTCTTGGCCAAATGTTTGCATGGTCTACTTTGCTGGCTTAATCAAATATTACGGCTGTACGAACGCACACACACACACACGTCTGATCCTGATCCATCCGGATGCAGTGGTCGGATGGACGATGGACCCTCGCCATCTCGCTTCGGAAATTAATTGCTTCCTGGCTTTAGTTCATCGACCATGCGGAGCTCCGTGGGATGTCCTGCGGCGAAGTCTTCAATTTGTACCCGCTTAATCCCCAATTAGTCCTCTGGGGCGGCGCTGATAATTTATTTTCTTAATGCCCTGCGTTTTACGGCAGTTGCTGTGGCCAGCATCGGGGGATCGCATATAAAGCTTAACAAATTAAAATTCTTAATTCGTTTTACAGTTATTTTATTAAATGTTAAAGATTCTTTCAACCTAAGGAAACTACACTATGGGCATTAATTGCTTTAAATGTCGTTTCAGGTCATGTTTTTATACATTTTGTATGGAAGGCTGTTGAAGTTGAAGGCAACTATTCCTAAAGTTGACTTTTCTTAAATGTAGGCAATTTTTTATTCTGAGTGTACAATTACTAATTTTGCACTGTTTTCTTTAATTATTTTTTTAATTCTTTACTATTTCTTTAAGGCATATGTATTTACCATAACAATTGTAAATTTTACTTAGCTCACTAGAAACAAAAACATGTTGAAATAAAATCAAAAAACAACTATTGACATTTCTTTGCTTTTATATTTTTTTACAGCAATTTTATCTCGTATGCTTTTTGATTGAAGTCAGTTTAATGAGTCTGCTTTGGTTTAGTTGGTTTAGCATGTCGCATTTGGGTCGTATATAAGATATGCAAATACCATCTTCAATATCTTGTCTCTCGTTAACGACTGCTCAAATAAAGAAATTTATTGTGTAATGCTTCTTAAACATTTTGTCGTTTTCTTAGCTTGCACACACTGGCTGCAATTTGCTTTCTTATGCACAAAGTTTTGTGTCGAAAATCGCAAATTATTTTCCCATTCGTGGCTGGCGTCTGTCTGGCTTAGTTATTTGTTGGTTTTTGTCAAGTATTTGTGACTTTGGCTCACAACGGCATGCAGTGTAAAACGAAAATAGCTTTACATTGCGACTTCATTGAGTTCGTTGCTGCTGTGGCACATTCTCATTAAGCTTTTGCGTCTGCAGATGAAAAGTGCCTGCGACTTATCGACATCGCGACATCAACGCACTGAGCACTCAAAGTTCATAAACAAAAGTAATTTCAGCGTTTCTTCTTCAGAGTTGATACCCTGTACTCGTAGAGTGTCTATTTTGCGAAAGGGAGCTTCTCTAGATCAAGATTTATGACTTCTAGCCAATAAGATAAGATAGATAAGATAGGTATTTTTTAGTTCCAACCAACATACAACATTTTATATCAATGGGACAAATCACTTGCAAAATATACTACATTTGGTAAATTGCTATGGTTTTTAAGAGCTGACGACTGGGTATTTTATGGTCGATACCCTCGACTGAATTTTTCTCTCACGCCCACAGAGCACATGCCGCCCCCAAAAAGTGAAAAAGTGGGGACCATGTGTGCGTTTAGTCTTGTCTTGCAAACTTTTCCTATATAAATTACCAGCTCGAGGCGCATCGCAGGCGATGAGAACGACACTTTTAGCAGGATGCATGAGCGTATAGCTGCTTTTTTGTTCCCTCCTTTGCTTACTAATAGTGTCGCCAGCAGAAGCAAAAAAAAAAGGGGGAATTCACCAGTGAAGGTTATCAAGCAGCAGAAGCTACGAGCAGGGAGCATCCAGCCGCCAGGAAAACTCATACGCAACGTATGCTGCCACGTGGCGGACGCCTTTTGTCTGGAACACCCGTCCGCAGAAATTGAATTTGGCCAGGATATAACTCGATTCACGCGTTCCGACTGCACAGCTTCCTGGATGGGTGATGAATCAATTGAGTTGGAGGAGATGTCAGAGACTTTGCATTCCTGACAGGCAGCGATGAATAAGACAAAAAATAAAACTGAATCTGCCCACTACAAAATGATGCCATTTTTGTATTCAAAATGTTGTATGAAGTTTAAAGATTTGTTCTTCTTTGGCTTATAAAATCATTTAAATCTAACAAATCAATTGATGTTTAAAAAAAAAATCATCTTGTCTATCACCGTAAAGTAGCTCAAATATAAGCTCTTTTTACTCTTGTCCATAAAGGGAATATAAATCAAAACAAATTAAAGAACCAAGTAGTGTAGTTCAGTAGTCTTTTAAACATCAATGAGCCTTTTTCAAGCCGAGCTCTAACTCGTTTTTCACTCGATTTTCAGGGTAACACAAGTGTGTTGATGAAGATGGAAATGCGCGACCGACTTTTCAACATAATGGTCAACCATAGCTTCATGTCGCGTGCCACCGTCACCGAGAGCATGGCCAAGTTCGCGATCCTCAGTCTGGAGAATTCCGATGACTTGGAGAAGTCGGTGATCCGGATTCTGCTGGCGATCGAGGACAAGTACCGCATCTACTTCGACAGCTACCAGAAGGAGTTGGACTTGCAGAGGATAGCGGCCCAGACGCTGAGCCATCTGATACAGCGCTACAAGATCATCATGCAGGTGGACGTGAGCTGCACCTGTCCGCACATCTACGAGATCGAGTCGGAGGAGGCCATCATCAACAAGTACTACATGCACTACCAGGTAATCGCCAGCTCCAACAAGAGCCAGAGTTGGGCCATCCACAGCCTGCGTCCGTATGTCCTGCTCCTACGGCGCGAGTGCGCCAAGTTGGATCCAAACGAGGACTCTCCGTTCATCCTGGGCGACGTCTTCCACAAACCGATCAAGTTCTTCATGGACCTGGTGGATGAGCTGTTCGCGTACTTCTACAGCTGCCACCTGCAGCTGGACTGCGCCGCCCGCCTGCTGGATCCCCTGGATCTGGACAGCCTGGAGAACTACCAGAAACTGCTGGCTCCCAACGAGGACTTCGACGAGTACTTCATGCTCAACATGAGCTTCTGCAAATGCTTGCGCCTGCCGCCCAAGTGTCCGCAAATCGAAAGCCACCAGAAGGTCAAGGATCAGGCCGAGCCCTATATTTCCCACGCCAAGAAGAGCCGATGTGCCAGGAGGATTGCCAGGATGGCGGCGACTGGACCGCAGAGTCCCAAGCCGGAGGGCAATGGATCGGAGCAGAAAGCGTCCGTCGTGAGCAATCCTAGCGAGCGGGTAACCACAACTATTAGTGTGGAATCGAATCCTTCTGCGGAACAAACGGTCGTCGTTAATCCTCAACATGAACAGGCTCTGGCGGATCAACTGTTGAATGCCTTCACCATAGTATCTCGATCATCTCCTGTCACAAATTCATGACTTCGTGCATCTTTTAATCTGAATTAGGCAAACTTAAATTCTAATCAGCCAATTAAACGGCCAGAGTGCACGTGATTGCGTTCTCGGTTTCTCGGAAATGTCTGCGGAAATGTTGTAAGTCTCCCTCTTGCCCCTCGGATATTTGCTGCACGCAATTGGGGATTTGCTTGTTTCACTAATGCTTCTCCAGCTTATGGGGCAACCAGTGTACCTTCCAACTGAGCTCACTCAATAGTCAAAGAGCTCTTGATTAAAGACAAACTTTCCATCAAAAGGAACACTTTGAAATTGGCTGTTAAGTAAGCAAAATCAAGTGAAGTTATTCAGTTGATAAATAAAATAAAAAAAAATAATGGAATTATGCTTGTTACTTGCTTGTTATACTTTTGAATTTTTGAATCAATATAAATATGCATATGCATAATTTGAACTTTTTATGCCATTTTCCTAAAAATTATTCAACTATTTTATTGAACTTTTATAACAATGAATTATTTCCAGCTCACAGCTTCCCAAGCTTAATTGCTAAAAATTCAAGAAGTCAAATCTATGAGATGTGTTTTATTTGCTATTATCTTCGACTTATGAACATTTCTGTGGCAAACACTATTTCATACAAACCATTTAGCACACACAGTAAATAACGATTGGATATGCCAAAGTGCTGTAGCAAATTAAAGATGACAATAAAAACGTTGTTGAGCAGGCAGGCAGGCTTTCTGCTGCATGTGCGTGTCTAAATGGACTAAATGTCAACGTTCGCTGCCTATTTATAGTGAAAAACGTGCATTTAATGAAAACTATACATAAGTAAGCAATTCTTGCCGATGACGGACAGATGCAAATGCTAATGCTAAATTTGTGCCGCTTGGCTGGTTTTTAATCGTGTTACGTATTACGTATACGCAGCGTACTCACCGATCTGGCGCCGGAGGTGATGCGGGCGCTCTGGGAGCGTGTGGCCGGCCGGCGACGGCGGTAACCGGGCGTACCGCCCTCGGGCGTGGCACTTCCGGAGGCGCCGGGCATCCCGTGGATGACCGTCTCGATGCTGGCCCCCGTGGCACAAATGGAGGCGCTGCGCGTCTTCTTCTGCATCCGATGATGCATCGGGGAGATGTCGTCCACCATGATGGTCTCTATTGTTCGCCGGTGGCTTCTCCTGGGAAATTTGGGGTGACTTCTGGTCTGCGGCTACTGCTGCTGGTGGGTCTCGATTCTCGACTCTCGACACTCGGCTTTCGACTCTCGAATCTCGAATTTTTGCGAAACTAATTCGGCCAAGCAGCCTAGGGGTCTCTACTTGTGTGCATTAAGCAGTTCGTGCTGTGGCTGTTGTAGTTGCTCTTTTTTGATGCTGCTGTGGTTTCTTTGTTGCATAATTCATAATCTGAGTGGTGGATGGTGTATGACTTTTTTGTTTGTGGTGCACTCTGCAAATAAACCGTGGCAAGCAAAAGAAACGAATGCAGAAAACATTTAAATCAATTTTTTAAATAAAAATTACACTTTTCTCGAATATTTTTGGTTGTGACGTGACCAAGTTTTACAGAAATAACCCAAAGAAAATTTGTTTTTGTGAAAAGCAAAAGTGAGCAACGAAAACGATTTTCATCTGCGTTCTACACGATTATATATTTGTAACAACATGCAACATAATTTGCTGTGTGATTTTTCATTTCGCCAGCAGCCATTAAACATAAAATTCCTCTGTTTGTTTTCCCAAAACGAACCACTCGCCCCACCCGCCCCATCCACTTTGCATTTATTTTTAAATGTGCCTCACGCGTCTCTTGGAAACTGGGTCAGCTACGGTAGTTGGCCGACCAAACGACAAATTGCAACAGACAAATTCGAAATCTCTACAAAGGGGCAAAGCCTTTGGGAATTGTGGTTTCTATCGAGGTTTTGTTATGTGTTTCGGTTATGAACGAGTTTAGGTTTTCCTAATTTGATTCGTTGATTTAAAATGTTGATGTGAGGTTGTTTTGTTTATTCGAGGGTTTGGTTTGTTAGTTAATTTTCATTTTTGTCCCTTTTATTATTTTAACAAATTGTTCGTCAATTAAGAAGTTATTTGAAATATATTTTTGCTATTTAGGACACGGACAAACATCAGTTTTCGAATCCAAATCTTTTATTTAAGTTTTAACTTGAACTAAAACTTGAACAAAAATTATTGGCTCATTTAAAAACATTATAATAAGAAGTGTTTTCAAAGCTTCTGACCTTAGGTTAATTTAAATACTTCAAAACTGCATAAAGATTTGTTTTTGTAAATAACCTTTCTTATTTTATTTCCTTTTTTTTAAATTATGGAACAAGAAGGTGCTTGAGGAATTATTTATATAATTTTTCTCTCAGACCCGGAAAATCAATTTCTCAACAAATCCATTCATTTATCCATCTTTGTTGGGATTCACTTGATTTTGTGCTTCTAAAGAGTTCGTTAATCACGTAATTCTCATCGTCTAAAAATACTTTTCTTTATATTGGCTTCAGTTTTCGAACCCTTGCATCATTCGCATCGTTTTCAACTCTTTCGTATGGTTTCCTATTCAGACAAACATTTCACAATTCAGATGTAAATAAAATCAGAACAATGTGGAAACTTTTGTTTAGCAATGCTTGAAATAGTCTCTTTTAGAAGCTCAGAAAAGTTAAATGGAAACTTTAGCATGCACTCTGCGTTTCCAATGGACGCTAATTGCCATTTGCAGCGGAGGGAGTTCCTTGGGCTATTCGCGATAGCGAAATTAAATCCATTTCTCAACTGGCCTTAAGCCAGACGACTGAAATTGAGTTTTCCAGACTGATGGCGCAGAGGTTTTAAGTGGCGAATAAGGAGCCAGCCAGCGGGCCAATGCAAACATATTGGTAATCTACTTAGGCATCCTGTTCGCTCCTTAGACATGCATCATTAGCCGCTCGACCTGGGGCGTCCTGTCCTATTCCATTTCGCCAGTCGTCAGTCTTCCTCCGTTCTGGTCTTGGAATTGAATTATGCTTTCACTATCTTTTCATCCGCGCTTGCACTTAAGTGCATCGAGGACACTTTCTGTCGCCGACAAGCGAACTTGATGAGCTCGCCGTTTCAGTCGCGTTCATCTGAGCGCTTTAAGGTCTCCCTGCTGGGTAATTAACTTGTGAGAATGATTAAAATATAAATAATTAAATACGAGCCAGGGTGCTGGCCACCCTTTTTTTGCGTTTGGAAGAACAAAAGAATCGGGACAAGTCCCTCGCAAGTAAATAATGCAAGGAGCGCAAAGGAAAATGGAGAAGAACAAATACATAAACTTGAAAATGTTTTTTAGCGCGGCAGCATATGCGACAGCAGCTTGAGATAAGTAGGCAACCGCACAGAGAAAAAAATTTTGAATTTGAATATAATTTAAGAAAAAACAAATTGGTAACAAAAATTAGACATTTACCTAGTCCACGATTACTTATTTATTATAACCTATTAATGAATGTTATTATACTATAAAGTTCCTACATGTTTTGATTCTTTTGAAAATATTGCTTACTAAGATTAATAGTTTTTCTAAGACCACCTTACAGTGTTGGCCAATTATTTTAAATATGTAAGTTATTAAATTTGTTGCTATGGTGTTGATGGATTTCTCTAGTTTTTAAATATAAAAAAAACACTCACCGAGTATGCACAAAAGCTGTATTTCAGATCGTATCAAAGTGAATTTTCATGTATATCTTGACAGAAACCCAGCTAGAAATAAGGGTAAGCCAACCCAGCAGTGACTTTAACGAGCTTAAAGGGTTGAGCAAACTTTCACTGCGACTTTACGCTTGATTTGCCAGCTAAACCGAGAACCAGCGATGCATTACAGGGACTCACAAAAAAGGGAAAAGCGAAATGGGTGCCCTGAGATGATTTCAGCTGCTGACCCATTCACTCATTCGTGCATGAAACTCCAGGCCACATGACGATGAAGTCGTTGAGGGATCCTTTGTCAGCAAAAGGACCTGCCTCCTTGTCTTGTTTGCATTCAATTGATGCCGCAGGTTGTACTGGCTAACAACAACATTAGTAAGAGCTCCTCGGGCGTGTGTTTTTGTGTGTTTTTGTGTGTGTGCCCGCCTAATTGGCCCCAGGAAGAAGGAGGAGCAGCCAGACAAGGGCAAGGACAAGGGCAAGGGATCGCCTTTAAAGCATTTGCCATGGATTTTGCTATTAATTTTCTTTTTTACGTTTATAGACTCTTCCCGGAATTCGAGGCCATATTAGCGGTGCTGGCTGGTGTGGTCATTTCGCTTTATGGCCTGATATGGCACGGCGAACTTTTTCGCTCCCCTTATCGGCTGGCCTGTTGCTAGTTATTAACATAAATATTTTCGCTTCGGCAGTTTTTTGTCTGCCCCGGCTAATCAGGCCACCCATCGACCCGTCGATGTGGATGTGGCCAAATGATGACAGCTGCGCACGGTTCCAGGCAACTTAAGCTATCACCGAAATAAGGCCAAAAAGTGCGTTGCCTCGAACGCAGCGAAAAAATACCCGATAAAGTGTCATCAGATACCATGTATATGGTCCGATGGGTCCTGAATGGAACTTGACTATATGGGGGCATTGGGCGGAGAGTGGGTGGCTCAAGGTTGCTCTGCATCCGGGGTGATAAAAAAAGGTGAAACAATCAAGAGCATTTGAGCGGAACTGCAAACAAAATTGATTCAAATGGAAGCTGATTGTGGTCGACAGTGAAATGTATAAAAAGTTAAATAAATAAGGATCAATCGAGGAAAGATTGCACATACAGATTTTATTTAAATTAAATCGCAGAAAGTGTTAATATTTGTACTGGCAAAATTATAAGCCATAAGTTGACATTGGCTGGAAAATATTAAAAATGTAAATGGAATATTTGATTTGTTAACGCTGCTAATCTAGAAAGGTGCACATATATTTAGATAGTTGTGTATTGTTAAATTAAATTGCATATTTAAATATACACATATATTATTACTACTTCTACTACTAGACCTAAATGCTTTTAATATAAGTTAAATATGATTTTAATTAAAACTAAATTGTTCGATATTAAAATCAACTCCTAAAATCGTAAAATGAAAATTTGTAAAAACGTTTAATATTATCTTGTTTGAAATATTTTAAATCAGTTCGAATATTTAAAATAAGTACTCAATATTAAGATTAACCGCGTTTTTTATCGGTGTAGCTATAAAAATACAATTAAAGAAAAAATATTACAATTTTGTTATTTTGGTAGTTTTCTTCTTATTTCTTCTTATTTCTTTTTATTTAGATTTCTTCTGATTTATATTAAATTGACAGACAAAAAACAATTTTTAGCTTGACTAAGCTTGAAATATTCTAGCTTAAAGCCTTTAGGAACTCTTACAAAATGGGTATATTTTGTATGCTGGCAAATGTGTTGATTCTTTCCAGGAAACGT